TTTTTTTTTTTGCATTACATATGTTGTTTTCATATCTATCTTGAAAACGTTAATGAATCGTTAAACATCTACTTTGAGCATTATTGTTTACTGATCGGTTTGCTTATTTTTACTTCACGGTGTTGCCATGTATTGGTGTATACTTAGGCTAAGTTCGAAAATGTTGTGGACAAATCTCGCCCTCCTTCTGAAGATATGCTAGATCGCTTTGACAAGTGGCTCTATATAGTAAGGAAAGGAGACATCCTCTCAGAACGGTGATTCTTTTACTGTCCTTGCCTAGAAAGTGATATATCGCGTTCATGTCACAGATGAAAACCTATATTTGAAGGTTTGAGCTGACAATGGACATAATCCCATATGTCTCATGTTATGAAGGTTTCTTACTCCTTATCGAAATTTGGAGGCATTTTCAGGTGAACTTAAAATTACATTGTTTAACTCTCCTAGTTCAAAAGATACTCTCTCGAATAAGACTTGAGTTTGATTCTTCGAGACAGTAATTTCTGTCGAAATTCATTTCTCACCCACACAACTGAGAGATTGATTTTTTAGATTTGCAGTCGCTTATAAAANTTTTTTTTCAGCGTCGTGGTGCTTCATATAATAGTATTCAGGCCGTTCATAATGCGATTCTGAAGGGAGAAGATGCCAGATTGCATGTCAGTATTTTTTCTTATTTTATGTTTTTCGAATAGTAAAATATTCATGTTAAGATCACCATGGATGGAAACACTGAGATATTTCGGCTGGTTTTGCAGAAAAATATAGGAGATTTGGGTCATTTGTTCCCGTTGTTATGTGTTACAGAGACCGTCGCTTGAGCATGGGGTTGTTTCATGTCCGGGCTCTTGTTGTTGATATGTTCAGTTGTTCTGTTGATCTCTATGTAATAATATTTTCTGATAAAATTATATAACCATTGTGCTAACCATTTCATAGTTTCCGGGTGTTTCAAACTAATTCCCTTGCGAAAGTTACTTTGACGGATCAATTAGATCAGTATCGCGGCGTTTATGATCCTTTTGGATTAATTTGTTTTGAAAAGTGCGTATATTAATCGATTTGATGGGATGATGAACGAGATTCACATCAAAAGAGCTAATTTTTAGGTCCGCGATGAGTACAAATGCTCTGCATATCCCATACGACTGGGTGTGCTTTAATATTGGCCTGATATCTTCAGACAGATATAATACTCAGTGCTTTTGAGTAGAGCCTCAGAAAGAAGTTCATCGGGTGCTCTTGGCGAAGGAGCCTTTATCAAAGTAAATGCAGAGCTCTTGTGGGCACTCTAATCAGATCGCCGAGGGGATCAGCAGTGCAGCAGCTTAGTTCGTATTGATTTTATAGTTGGGCCCTGAATGAACCCAATAAGCCTTCGAAATAAATATCGCATAGAATTGTACTGAGTGGAAAACATCGTGCTGATCCTCATATGAAGTGGCGTGTGGTATTCGAACAAATTTCGAGTCCTTATGCCCGAGCAGTGAAGTAGCGACGCTAAATATCGCGTTTTCTTTAGTGAAGATGGGCAATGATTGCTGAAGTGTCTAAACGTTTTTCACTTCTACCATCATAAAAGTTATGATTTATGATTGTTTCACTTGTGCGAGAGCTGCTCGTTTGTCGTTTTCATTCTCCATCATTTGGATGGAGATCAACAATTCTGAAACTTTTCGGGAGACGTGGCTTGTGAGGCAAGCATGGCCGCGTGGAGCTAGACAAACTGATAAAGACATTGGTGGTTACCGTTGGAGTAGACAGTGCAATAATCGATTTCCTTCTCCGATTGTTGCACTTGGAAGGATTTATTGAATTCTTGTTAAAAGTTAGTCATTCATTACTACACTTTGGTGCTCAACAATCATGTCTACTCCTTTTATGAAACGCTTTTCTGAAGGCGATTTTTTGATGAGAAAAATGTTACGACATTTCCATAAATCTTGAATTTGAAAGCTTTAAAGGTTTTTAGTGAATCTGTTTTGACTTTTTTTTGAGAATCACAGCAACTTCCAGCATATGGAATTCTGGTCATGCGAAGGGCCAAGTAAAAGGTCTCAATGTACTAGCAGGAGGAATAGGAGCTATAAAGCTACTCGATGTCAACCCTTCTCTATTTTACACGGCTAGATGGTGAGCGAAAGGAACGTAACCCAGTATTAAGCTTGAAGGGTTTCTTTATTCCGATGAAAATGTAGTTAGGGGGGAGGGGGTGCCAGGCTCTTTTGTGCTCTGCGTCTATTCAATACTTACCCCATCTAATTATCTCACCCATCTCGAAGCTCCTTTCCTTCTAAAAATTAGGGAAGTAGCTCCGGGGTGGGTGAACCAGTTGGATGTTCAATTCTTACCCCTTCTCACCTTTTTGCGCGAGGTAATCATCTCCACCCGGAGCTCCTCCCCTAACTTTTAGGAGGGGAGGAAACCATCTCTGGGTTCTAGCGTGATCTCTATGCATTCTGCTGCTTGGTTTCAGAGACGCAGAGCACAAAAGTTCTTGGCACCCCCCCCCCCTCCAAAAAAAACGGAAGCCTGTTGGAAAGGAACTAAGGGTGAACTACATTTTCATCCTTAGTTCCTTTTCAACAGGCTTCCGTTTTTATGAAAGTGGTGATCAATCAGACTACTCCGATGGAAACATAGATATCGGAATAAATTTCACAAGGCGTAAGGAAACGTAGCTTATACAGGACCAGTATTACAGAAATGCTACTACGAGAGAGGCGACGCGCCATTCCCCCGTTAGGAAAGTTCAGCATATTCTTCAACCGCTAGACTTAACGTTTCTCATCTCGTAGCATTGCGTGAAGGGCACTCCTTCACAAAAGGTCGCCATTTGTTGGTAGGAGACTTTTATCATCTGAATACATTCACTTGTTTCCATTTCATTCTGATTATCAACTTCCACTACTGAAACCCCTTTGTGCCAGCACAATTGCATTGTTTGGCTCAGGGCATGGGTAGCTGCCGTAGATCGATGATCAAGGAATTGCTCTTATTCTCAAAGTCTCATGGCAGTCAATTGACTTCGGGAGGGTAGATGTCTTGAATGGCTCGCTATCAACTGCAGACTGCCAACAGCTGTTATAAAACACTCCCGGTAATTTTTCACACGATTATGCTCCACCTGTATGATTGATTATTGATTAAGATCATTGGATTAGGTGCCCTGTTTTTTTCATTTGTACCTCAACATTTTTTTGTTCCCGTCATTGATATTCCATTAAATTTATTGCTCTGATTAGTAACTTCGTTGGTAGAAAGTTTGTGTTGAACTGGATCAATGAGATCAGTATAGTACATAAGTAGCATTTTTTAGAATGAAAATATATTAGTGCTTTCACAACTGCTTGCTTTACTTCCACATTAGTTATTTGTAGTCTGGTATGAATTTTATACTTGCCATCCTTTTGACAGATTTTAAACGAATAGAAATCGTATGTTACAATTTTCGGAAATGTCATCAAACGTTCTGTGAAGCTGTTTATATGAGATAATAGTAGTGAAGTTATAAGCCTTTTACGTAATAGTAATCTAGTCTTTCTGTCGAAGACACTCCATTTAGACACTGAGAGCAGTTATGTTCCCTGAAGGAGTGCAAAGCTGCTCGTCTGTGCCAAATATTCGTAAGTCTTATGCTCAGTTCAAGAAGACCTGTGACTGCACAGAAACTACCAGCTCTTGGAATCGGCCTGCTGTTTTGCTGGGGAGTTGCTATTCCTTCAATTCTCAACAAGAACGTTTAGAATAAGTGTTAGTTGTGTTCTTCACTTGAGGAAGAATCAGAGTTCAGAACACCTGTTGAACACCGCTCGAACAAACGAGGAGAGGGCACGAAGGGATCAAATAGGGTCTTTGGTGTCAATCAATCTCTTTTCGGGTGCACCCCCACATTCGAATCATGGCGGTGGTTTTGAGTGCGTATGAAGTCTACCCAATAAATCACCAATGTATTAGTTAGTGTTTTCATCCCCCGGATGAGTGTGGGCAAGTTTACCGAATCAAGTCATTAGAAAATCACGAAAACTGTAGGTCTGTCGGTCATGCCATGTATCGAACGGCTTCGATGGAGGTTGTGTTGTGGCAAGGGGCGCATTATCGCACGGACGAATCTTATACAGGCTCGATATGTGCCCAGGCCGAGCATGGTCATTCCTCCGGGGTTGGTGAATATTTTACTAATTTGTATATGGGCTGGCCACCACAATTATTTTCAATGGCCACATCCGTATTTGAATCGCCTCTGCAATTCCGAATGGGGGTCGAATGCAGGAGTGCAGGCCGAAACAAGATTGATTTACTCCAAGGAACGACGAGTTTCGCTAGCAGATCAGTTCGATATGACTGCCTTTTCGCTGCCCTTTCCATATCTAGCATCGTACAGTCAACATGCTTCTAAAGATTACGAATCCTACCGTATTATCGGCTTAGATAAGTGAATGACTCTTTTCATTTAGCAGTCAAGACATCACAGACGCCCATATCTGATCTCGAGCCAGGCAAATATTCGCATGAAGAGTCTCGATTAAGATGTCAACTGGCGTCACTTTATCGTCTTGTCGATCTGTTCCGGTGGAGTCAAGGAATCTACAATCACATTACCGTAAGTGTGTACAATGAAAACCGTAGAAGGATGGTCATAGGCGCGGCTGTCAAAGTACGAGGAACAGCGGTTCTGGGCTTCTTTAGAAAACAAACCTGTGGATCTTTAGCTCCTTCATGGTACATTTATAGAATTTAATTCTGAGTAGTATAAAAATAGGATTCACCATTTCATTACTATCGCTTAACTTGGACATTATCTCGTGATCACCTAAATACATAAGGAAGGTTGAGAGAAGATAGAAGATGATGTAGATGATGGTGTCTTGGTACTACAATGGTAATGTACAAGAGAAATTTATATTTTCATAAACCAGAACTAGAGGTACTCACTTTTCTAGTAGTTTGCAAATTTCGTAAACACTTTTGCACATTATTTTTGTCTAAAACTTTTCAGGTTCGTCTCCTTGGAGGCGATAATGAGTTTCTAATCAATCCTTTTGGTCTATTATATCACGAAATAACGGCCGGAACTCTTGTGAAAGTGGATCTCGACGGAAAGATTCTTGATCCAGGAACTACAGGTTTTGGTATAAATAAGGTGGGTTGATGGATTCCCTTTCGGCGAAAAGGATTCACCATACAATGTGTATATTGTAACCACCTACCTACCATACCATATTTTCGTGAGTAGGGTCAAACGCATGGCTTATTTTCAAACATTGAACAGAGTATGCTGTTGTGATACGCCTCCAATATTTATTATACATTCGAATTTATTCATTTCTATCTAAAGTTCAATTAAGGCTGGTTATGTTCTGCACTCTGCAATCCATGGAGGACGTGAAGATTTACTATGCGTGATTCATCTACACGTACCATCGGTTGTAGCTGTCTCAGCCATGAAATGTGGTCTACTGAAGCTTTGCCAAGAAGCGATGATCGTTGGAGAAGTCGCCTACCATGACTATCAGGTGACTCAGCGGATAATGGCTATAGGTCTAGGAGTTAAGCTTTCCCACTTTCAACTTTTCAGGGTATTGTGGTGGATCCAAACGAGCGCGAGTCATTGGTGAAAGATATGGGCTCACACAATGTCATGTTACTACGAAACCATGGATTTGTTGCCGCAGGACGTACCATCGAGGAAGCATTCCATTACGCATACCACTTAATTCTTGCTTGTGAAACTCAGGTTTGTAAGCTCTTGGTAGTCTTCTGTCGAACGGTTAATCGACATCGAAAGACGTGTTAAGGTTCGAGCGATTAATCCAATTATGGTAGGGGAAATTTCAATGCCTTCGGATTATTCCGTTCAAAAAGCGTATAAAACTGCCAGTCACGGAGGTCAGTATATATTTGCATGAAATTCCGGTACGAAAACAAAAAAAACCATTAGTATTTCAGGAGGTGGCGTCAATCTGAAAGATGGCGCTGTTGATAACAAAGAGTGGGGAATCGGGGAGCTGGAATGGCAAGCATGGATGAGGACTCTTGACGAAATGGTATGTTGTTACTATCGACTTCCATAGACAGGCTAACACTTTTAGTTTTCATGAAGACGTTTTGAAGTGAAGTCGGGTAGCCGGTAGAAGGGAATATGAACGATGATAGAATTATAAAAGGAGGCTGAGCGCGATCTTTAAAGATAAAAACTTCAGCAACCTCTAGATCGTCGAGGTGCCTGCTGCTCTGAACCTTCGATTCAAACCGTCTTAGATTGATAAATAATAATGGTTCAGAGAAAAGGAGAGAGGAGTCAAGTTGAGAAATTTTCTCATAAGTGGATCGATTTATCGGGCTTCACCAAGTCTTTTTATCGTTGCCTCTGCTGCTGCTCTGAGACCAGTAGAGCGGAGGTCATTGAAGTCGGTTGAAATCCACCGACAGAGGGTTGAACTGAGGACAAATACCAAAGAGCCTTCTACTTTTAACGGTAAATAGTTTGGGCATGCGCTTTAGTATCCCTAGAGCATGAACAGCTGACTTACATATGTCATTATGCCTTCCCAAGAATACCCCTCTTTCAGGGACTTCGAACGGGTTACAAGCACCGGAAGAAGTGAAAGATTTTGAGTGAGAGGAGTGGTCAATTTGCTGGATCTGGATTTCCTGAACCTTCGATGGTTTTGCTATGTTATTATGCTTACTTAGATAAATTGTATTCTGTTGATTTTTTTCATTTGCATTTTTTCTTATAAAACCCGCAGAAAACCAATTGACTATAACAGTAGTCATCCATAATCAATTTTTCATAATTAAGCGGGTGTGCAGTAGTTCTCTAAACACTTATTGAGATGAATGAAGCAGTCAAAAACGTGAAGACATTATCATCGGACCAAACATTGCAAAAGCTAATGCGTGACAAAAGGATGGTAAGTTTATGAGGCCGTTCACATCGAAAGGTTTATGAATGAGGCTTAGCATTAATTATTTTTGAAACCTGTTCACATTTCGTTAGAAAGTGGTTTGAGAGTTTTCGAATAGAGGATGCTCCGACAATGACTCGAGAGACATTTTTTAGATGTTTTGAATTGGAGCTTTCGAAACAATACAGCCCTCTCCTTCCCCGACAAGATAGCTTCTCAGAATGCAGAAGAAGGCATGGAGAAACGGCTTATTAGATCTCTATTAGGTGGCATGAATCCGGGAGCTTGTGGCTGTCGAAATCTATGGTGGATGATAGTTCCGGTGAAGGCTGAACAAAAAACGTCACCTATCGAACGATTCGAGGAGTGCGTACGTAAAGAAGAGAACATCATGGAGAGATATGGTGTTCTGGCATAGGCCAGAACCCGCGGTCACCCCCGCTCCTTAGGGGCGGGGCTTAAGGAAAACACTTCTCTTGCTGACCGCCCGCAACTAGGGTGTTTCATTGGTCGTTAATAAACATATACCACTGAACCATCGTGTTTTTACTCGTTCGTTCGTTAC